CTATGTTTCCCAGGTGAAGCATGTCGCCTTCATCCTTTCCATTGCGTTGTTGATTTTGGTACTGGGCTTGACTCACAGTACCATCCCATCCTTGTGGGATGCTCTTGTGGGTGAAGCCCTTCCCTGCTGCTCGGCTTGCGTTCATTTCTTCAGTAAAGGCAGGCAGTGCCGTGGAAGCCCATGTTTGCGTCGCGACCTCAATGAAGAGTCTACGTCGGGCACAGGTTGTCCAACTGCTTAGCTTCGAGACCCTGAGAAAGAAGTGAGGTTTGATCCCACTGCCGGACTGGGTCGACAAGCCCGGGTGCATTAATGATGCTGGGCTTTGGAGTACCATACTTTAATGCTTTTTCTTACAGGAACCGCTCCAACCCTAAACCCTAAACCCTGGTTACTTAAAAGCCCAGGATGTCATGATGACCGTGGGCAACTCTTCGATGCCCACCTGGGGCTTCTACGACAACAGCACGGATGTTCAGACCCCGGCCAACGTCGAACTGTATTCCCAGGGCTACTGGACGATCATGTCCTACTTCGTGGGTTTCGCCTTCTCTTCGCTTATATACGGCGCTTGGGCCATACTCGTTAAAACTTGGAAGCCTGCGCAAGCCCTTGGTTTTCGATACCCATTGGGAGTAATGCCTGCGAGCGCAGGCCGTTTTGTGAAGAGCAACTCAGGCATGCTGTTTTGCAGCCTCCCTCTCATCGTGATGCAAGTGTGGTCAGCCGGGAACAGACTAAACCAACTCAACGACCTGCTGTTGGTCCACCAGTGGCACCTTGGACCGGGATGAGAGCGAGTCAGACCTAATCCGTAAGTCCTGTGTAAGACAGAAGCCGGAGACCAGACCCTACCTGTATCCCCAAACCCTACAAAATAGTAGGTCCGGGCCTCTTAATACTAATTAAACCCTAAACCATAAACCCTACAACTCCTAAAACAGCATGTTTTTGGACCCCAGGCATACACCCCAGGATCTCACCAGAGAAGACATAGCCCATAGGCCCATGTCGGCACTGCTGTGGGGTTCGATTTTTCTCACAGGTCCTAATCCAAGTAATTTTGGGTTCCTAAGCCAAGCAGGCTTTGTCTTTGAATTATTTTGCCCAAGACACTGTTCTGTTAAGGCTCCCGATGCGCGCTTTTGAGCTTAAACCCTAAATCAGGAGTATTGGAGGATTGAAGCATCGTCAAGCCTTGATGCTCTACAAGCTTTACCATCTGCGTGCCAGCATCTCCCATCTTGATATGCGCCTGGCTGTCAAATCATGGCTTGGGATTTAGGGTTTAGCTTTCGGGCACCATGGGGGTAAGGGCTTCTGGAAGTTCTGAAGCTGAGTGTTCACAGGGTTTAGGGATTAGGGCTTCTAAGTAATGCTTCTAAGCTAAGCCCCTAAACCCCCAACCCGAAAAGACCCTTCCAGCAGCCGTTAACGGACCTGAAAGGAACGTATTTTACCCTATAAGGCCCTCGGTTTAGGGTATGGGGTTTGGGGTTTAGGGCCTCGACTTGATCATGGGAAGCTTCGTTACTTGTGGGGTCCTTGCTCATGGCGTCAAGATGTGCTCAGGTAGGGTTTGGGGTGTAGGATTTGGGTTGAGGTAGGGTTTAGGGTCCAGGGGTTTCGGGGCTTGAGTCAGCAGTAGTTAGTTTGATAACTTTCCCGTTATGAAGCTGCTACAGTTTGGTAACCGTGTACATACCCCGAGTGCCAGCCTGTATGATGTACAGCTCATGAAAGCGGCCACTGATCTTAGAGCATCTTAGAGTCTTAAATTATAAACCGTTTGAGCATGGAACTGGCTCAAGACACCTGTCCCCGAATGCACATGGGCTCGTTCCCTGGTTTCGGTGAAGTTTCTTCGAAACAAGTGTATACCCAAAGGTCCCCAAGAGCTGTCAGACAATCTAAATTTAAATTCCACGGTTCAACCCCTGAAGACTCCGGAACATCCCTTGCAACACTACACGAGGCGCAACTTCTATGAGCTGGACACATACCCGGACTTCTTGCTTCAGCCAGCAGCTGGGTGTAAGATAACCTCATGATGAGGGACTCGCTGAGAGGATCCTTAAACATAGGGGTCCTTAAGATAAGGATCCTTTTAGGGTCAGTTTATATTAGGGTCTCCTAGTTTCTCGAACTTTCAAGTACGGTGGTGAGGGTGTTGTAGGGTCCTTGAGGTTGCGGAGAACCCTATAAAACTAGTATTCGGTTTCTCCTATAGTCCCTATAGTATTTATATTGACTACAGCATACAGCACAACCCCGGTCCAATAATCAAAGCCCTGTAACCCTAGGGATCAAAATAGCCCAAAAGCTTTATATAGTATGATCTTTGGGCCCAAAAGCCTTCATGTATGATTCCTTAGATCCCCAGGGTAATTTATCTCAACTCGACACACCCAACCGAAGTAGACAGCACTACCCTCTAAACTCTAAACCTGGACGCTGAGCCCCTGGAGATCAACAGCAGGTGGACAACCCGGCTGCATCCGACACATTCTTCTGGTGGTTCCGTACCCGCGCGGCGATCTTTGCAGACACCAGCTGGACCTTGATGCTGGTGTCGCCCTTGCTCTATGTCGGTATAATTATTGCGACTCGGCAGCCGGTGTCAAACTGCGCTTGTGGCATTGGATTTAAGGCTTCAAGGCTCTGGCCTCCGGTACTTAGCAGCCCAGGGGACTTAGTAAGTAGGTTATAAGTAGAGTTATAAGTACTCTAAGCTGAGTTACCCCAATCATATCACTACTTATACCCGACTTACTAAGTCCCCTGACCCTCCAAGTAGCATCCTACACACGCGACTGTCGCGGATACTTGACCGTAAACCAAAGGGCCCATGTACCAGTATAGTATATGCTTGGGGGTCCGAAACAGCTACTAAGAACCTACTATAATCATACCTGGACCCTAAACCCTAAACCCAAACCCTAAACCCGAAGCCCTTTGGGTAATGGCGCAGGTGATCGCCATTGTTGTTGGCACGATATTGCTGGAAGCCACTGGTGGTATGGTGTTCCCACTCGTTGCCTACACGGTCATCGACGGAGTCTTTTTGGCAAGACGGGAAGCCGACAACCGCAAGCCCTGCAAGCTAAATCTTGAGACCCACGAAGGAAAACAATAAAGATGCCCAAACCCTCGAACCCTACGTCCTCAAACCCTACAAGAAAGAAATGGGTGGTTGTCAAAGTTAGGGTCCCTTTTTGGGTACCCTAAATATTAGGTGCCGTACTATGTTAGGGACCCAAAAAAGGGACCATCATGAAAAGGAGGGACTCTTGATAAAGATCCCTAGATGTATACCCTTGATATAGCTATGATATACCCATTATATGGCACATGATAGGGTAGGGGTCCCCATTAAGGGTCCCTCCTTTTCCCCTAAACCCTTAACCCTTATAGATCCCTTTTAAAGGAACCCTAAAAGCCCTAAATTAAGGGTCCCTCATTTTCCCCTAAACCCCCTAAACCCCCAAACCTCTAAACCCTAAACCCTATACCCTTATAGCGTCCCTATAGATCCCTTTAAAGGGTCCCCATTAAGGGTCCCTCCTTTGACCCTTGGGCTGGACCCTGGTACCCTTGTGGCGGCCCTGTATATAGGGGAACCCCTGTAGGAACCCTATACTACCCTTATAGTAACCCTGCAAAGGAACCCCCCTATGTCCATCCTTTTCCCCTTGAAAGGAATGTTCTTTGGAGCCTTTATGCTCGGGTTCATGATCTACGGCGCGAATGTCAATGATGCCCGGAGCTCACAGCTCTGCTGTTGAGGGATTACTTCGGGGTACTTCGAAATAGTTTTTTAATTTTTGGATATTATAACCCCCAAGAAACAGCTAAAATTATGATTTTTGCTAGGGTTCTAAGTTCAGAATAGTGCTGTTGAGGGTTTAGGAGTTTAGGCTTTCAGGATTTAGGGCAATTTAGGGCTGTTGAGGGCTTAGAGTCCGGGGTTTGAGGGTTCAGGGCCGAATTACTCAATGATTTATCCGAAATCCTCTGTTCTTGGCAGCACCCGCGATAATAATTTTCGGAAACGCAGGGTGGACATCAGAATAGGCCCCAACATTTTCAGAAGACTTTAATGTTTGAATAATTACCAATACTATGTTGGGAGCTCCTTGCTATTATTATAGAATAATGGCCCCAAAACCTTATTCCCATTATTAAGGCCCCTATATTACATCGCAATCACTCCGCGACCCAAGCCTGAACCCCGGCAAATCCCTGGCACCCCAAAGAGCCCGCCACGAGAGCGCACCAAAGAAGCGAGCCTCAATCCCAAAAGCTGAAACCCGCAAGTCAAAAATACGCACAAAAAGCAAACCCTAAACGCTAAAATCAAAAACCTTGCAGCCCTAGTTTAGTCCGTATATAACCCTAAAACCCGAATTATATCCCTGACTCAAAGGCGTTGTCGCTGGCGGGACCCTTGCTCAGCCAACTCCCTGAGGCTACCCGGCCTGAAAGCAAGGCTTGCCCGCGGTTTAGGGTTTAGGGAGCATTCATTGTGTTGCTTCGCGTTTCGGGCGGATACATCGATAAATTGGACAAACATTTTGGTAATATGATCAGCGCTTGAATAACTACCCCTACAGTTCCTGAATGGTAGAGTTCTATTACACTCTACCCCAAAACCCTGTTCCAATTATCAAGGCCCCGATAACAGGCACGACAATTATGCTGGGCTATTGCCGTCGAAAGTTGGGTTGAGGATGTTTGGGCCTGAACAACGCGCGACAGGTGCAATTCCTGCTAAAATTTGTTTATGGTTGTTCCTTCTGTCAATGATATACAAAACCTACAAATGTCAATGACCTGTGCAGCCAAGGTCCAAAATGTTGCGCTTCAAGATTTGCTTGCCTTCGAAGGGTCACACACCTTGCAGCTGACTTTTCTGGGAATACCAGTGCCTTGGCTTTTCTGGAACAACATCAGGATCCTGTGTTGTTTCTCTATGTTTCGGTCGGGATTCCTTACCCCATGAATATGTTCACAGTTCAAAAGACCACAAATATCCAGGCTGCCACCTTACAACCTTAAGGCTATGTAAGCTCTAAAGCCCTGCTAGGATGATTCAGGTCCCCCTAATTTCAATGACCTCACTCTACAAGCCCGGAATAGTTAGAAATAGCATACCCTTGCAGTCCCTGCATGCTTACACTGGCTGTCTATTTCAGTTTTTACTGCAAGACTTCGCCGATACTCGAGAGAAAACAGCCCTGGCTTTCGCACCGGTCGCCTCGCCCCCTCCCTCCCTCCCCCCCTCCCGCCCCTCCCGCCCTTTGCCGCCCTCTCCCTCCCTCCCCCGCTCGCTCGCTGGCTCGCGGGGTTGGGAACAGCTTGTTTTGAAGGAGACCTATCAGGATTCTTCAGGTGTTCATGCTACGACATGCCACTGGTATTCTCTTAGCAGCATGATTCAGCAATGTGCTGCGTTGTTGCCATGTTGGAGCCTGGGTGCTACACAGCTATCTCACTGAAACGTGCTACACCGCCATGCCACTGTACTGCGCTACGGTATTCGAGGTCTCTGGATAATGCCCTCGTTGCTTTTTTTGAGGTTAGTCGTTCCCTGACAGCAAGCGAAAGGGAACGGCAGCGTCAGGACTTGGAAGGGTAACGCGTGTGCACGTGTGATGACACCGTCGTGCATTGTTTAATTATTAAAGGGTTCAGTTATTCTCATTGATGTTGTCAGTAATCTTCGTATACTTGTTTGCATTACTACTTACGTGTAATATTAGTATTGTTATTGGGTAATATTTTTGTGCTTATTGTTGATATTACGATTATGCTTATGAGAATGGTGATGATGAATATAAAAGTCAATCTTCATAATTATTCTTACTATGGTTATTACATTGAGCGATGCTATTTTTGTTATTCTATCATCATTAATGGTCTTATAATCATCGTTAGTAGTATTACTATTCCCAATATTGTTTTATTTTGATGTGTGTTGTCTAATACTTTTATTCCTCTTCTTATTGTTATGATTGTTATTTTGCTTATTACCGTTCTTATGATCATTGCTATTATCAGTATTAGTACATTAACCCAGGTTCCTTCCCATGACCATCATGAGCACTGGCTATGCATGGCTTAGTGTAGACAGTAACATGTGCCAGGTAGGCACTCGAATGGTGTATTCCTATCTGATGGCGCTGGTTTCATACATGATCACCATCCTCATCGCTGTCCTCAAGTCGCTCTTCGTGCCGTGGATCTTTCAGTTTGAGCCGCAACAATAATTAGAGCACAAGCTCTATGTTGCAGCTCAAAATTGGTTAGAACTTTGATGTGGGCTAATGCATTGTAGTCAGCCTTGCAGTACGGGTCATTATACAGATGATTGACTTCCTTCATGGCAAACCCTAAGACCTAAGCCGGATTCGGGGACGACTCTGACAGGCTCGAAGAGAGCCTTGCTAGCATGATTCTGAAGATTTGGCATCGCTGATAGGCGTGCCATGGTTTCAGAAGGCACTCTGCTTTTGATATGCAAAAAGTATGGAGCGCTAGGTGAGGGGTTCTTCAAACTAGGGATACTTGGGCAACTTCTCTTGTTACCATCTGGGCCCCATAGGGTCTGGTTTGTTTGAAACTCCCTGCCTAGTGGCAACAGAGTGGTATGGCGACGTTGACGCTTAGGGAGCTGGGAGTTGATAGCGGTGTTTTTGGAATGGTGTTTTGTCAGTAAGGCTCTCCTTAACCTTGAAGAACCTACCTTTCTAAGGACTTATAAGGAAATCATAATAAGGAACCCCAAAAAGGTAGGCTCTTCAGGGTTAAGGATCTTAGGTAAACTTCTCTGGTTCGTAGTTGAGAGCAACCAGAGGCCTGGTACCCGAAATCCTGACACCACAGTCCCTAAACCCTACTTGGAGTTTCATGGTGGTTATTAGAAGGGGCCCCCACCCTGTAATAGTGGTATAATAGGAACACAATAGGGTCCTAATATAATCCTTGTAGTCACTATTACAGGGTGGGGGCAGCTTCTAAGGTAGTTGCAGCTGGGCTTATATAAGTATCCCATATTAAGGGACTTATAACTCCACTTTGAACTACCCATGAGTAGTTATAACTGGGTTTATAAGTATCCCATATTCATATTAAGTATTAAGGGACTTATAACTCCAAATTGAACTACCCATGAGTAGTTATAACTGGGCTTATAAGTATCCCATACTAAGGGACTTATACCTCCACTTTGACCTACCCATGAACGTGCAAGTAAAGCTTAAAGTCTACGCCCGGCCAGAGCGCAGGCTCGAACCGCCGTGGCGAGGCATCGCCATTAAGCCCAGTCCTCAGAGTTGAGGGGATCAGAGAATCGGCCGCAGAGGTCTTGGGGTGCAGGGTTTGGGGTTCAGGGTTTGAGGTCTAGGGTTTAGGGTTTAGGGCTTAGGGTTCAGGGTTTAGGGTTCAGGGTTTAGGGTTTAGGGAGAGTATCAGAGAATCGGCCGACGAGGCTTGGGGTGTAGAGTTTAGGGGTTCCCCTCAGGAACTGTTTCTTGTTTTTGTTCAGATAGAACCCAAGCGAATATTAAACATGATATGTTTGTTATGGTTCTAAGGATGGTATAGGTTTATAGTTTCGGGTTAGGCTCTAGAGCGTTTTGTTTTTGACTTAGGGGTGCAAATGCCGGGACCGTGGACCGGGGCTGCGGGAATGTAATGCCGTCCTCTCACTACCAGTCACTACCCTGAGATAGCTTCTTGCTTGCAGAATCTGGCCTTGTAAACTAAATACACGAAAGGTAGTTCCACCAAGATGTTGGGCCAGGTCCTGCATCTGTCGGCGAGTTCAAGGTGACGCGGTCACCTGTGGCTTCACTGTTAGGTTTCAGTGATGCCAAGCAGAGCATGGGGTGCGGGTTTTAAGAGCTTGGTGTTACTGTAAGCTTTGCTATATGGGAGTTTCCAAAAATTCGGGGGGGGGTACATTATTTTGGGGTCCTTGTAATAAGGATCCTGCTATTTGGGGTATTATATTAGGGTCCCCTATTTGCGGAAACTCCCATATGGGTTATTCTGAGCATTGTTGCCAACAATGAGGCGAAGAGTTGCATTGGCACTTTTGGGCGGTTGCTGGGTCTGACAAGTACATCGAAACGACGAGCTTTGACTGCGATAGCGACACTATAGTTCATATTTGCTACACAGATTTGCGCAGACATAGGGGTTTGCACCTACAGCGAGCACGTGGCTTAACATAACATATGGGTGGTTGTCAAAATTACGGTTTCTCTTCGGGTCCCTATTATAGTACGGCACCTAGTATTTAGGGTAGCCCAAAAAGGGACCCTAATTTTGACAACCACCCATAGGTGTGCATTAGACACCTGAACGTCTAAGCTTCCCTGAAGAGCGCTATGGCCTGAAGCGCTGGAACCCTAAAGGGAACTCCAGAAAGTTGGAATATGGATTAATGGTAGGATCCCTTATAATTTACCTTATAGGGGTTACGATAATGATAATCCAACCTTTCTGGCTTCTACTGTAAGCCCTCCAAACTCTGACCCGACGCCTAGACCCTAAAGGCCCCGAAAAGTTCTAGGCTGAAGCCCGCAGAAACCAAAGAAACCCTAAACCCTGTGAATTCTGACCCGAAGCCTAAACCCTAGGCCCGCAACCCCGAAGAAGACCCAACAGCAACCATACCGTCGTGGGAGGAGGGACCCGACAGAAGCTCATCCGAGTCTGGAGCTCAAGATTGCGATGCATTTAGGGTTTCTATAGTCTCCTCAGGAATTATTCTTATTTTTTATTCATATAAAGCCCAAGAAAATATTTAAAAGAAGTGTTTTATGTTTATTGTTCTAAGGGGAGCATGGGTTCAGGGTGTAGGGTTTAGGCCTCAACCCCAAATCCAAAACCACACCAAACCCCAAATGTCATAAACCCTAAACCCTAAGACGCTAAAGACTCTATGAATTTCATGATCCCTAATCCCTGAGACACTAAAGACTATGAATTTTGCAAACCCTAAACCCTAAGATACTAAAGACTCGACGACCCTAAAGCCCCAAAGCAACGAGGCTGCAAGGAACCCTATACCCTATAAACCCTATAGATCCCTTAAAGGAAGCCTATAGATCCCGTAAAGGAGCCCTATATTAGAGCGTCCTTGGAACGTCCTGCAACGAGGCTCCAGGCGCCTCTGCCGAAGGTCACCAAGACCACCAGTCTCGGGGATTTCGGCCGCTTGGGGCTCAGGGTGTTGGCATTTTATAGGTTGTGTGTTGTCGGGGGGGCGGGGGGGGGGGGGTTAGAGTTGGTTTAAGGGGGTGTTGGGATTGAGGGGTTGTTTGCGATTTTGGGGTTTTGGTGCGTGTGGGGTTTAAATTTAGGAGCCTAGGCCCCTGAACCCTAAACCCCTAGACCATGAAAGCCCTAAACCCAGTAAACTTGGGACGCCGGAGACGATCTGTAAGACTGGTGGGATATTTTTACTATCGGGGCCTCAATAACCAGCATAGGGTTTTGGTGCATATTATATTATGCTATAAGTACAATAACTAGGTGCATATTATACTATAGGTACAATAACTATACTTAGGCCTCTACATTCTGCCTTGAGAGTTCAGGGTGGGCATCGAGGGCTCGAGACCCGGAGTCCCTATAAGCTGTACTTCTAGGACAAGTGCTTTCGTTTGCTTACTTTAGATGGCAAAACCAAAAAACCCTAAAACCCTAAACCCCTAAACCCTAACCCCTAAAACCCTAAACCCTAAACCCCTAAACCCTAAAACCCTAAACCCTAAACCCCTAAACCCCAAAGGTTCCGAGTTGAAGCCTGGGTGGGGGGGGCTTCTTTCGGCTCTTGAAGGTGAAGGGCCAGTTTCGGGTTACCTCAACCCCCAAAAGTAGGTAAAGTAATGGCCCAATACCTTTAAAAGGCTATTATTCTACATGCTTTTGGGGTCCAGGTACGGGTTTCCCTTGCAGCCGATCTTATGGTGGCATTCATGGAGCCTGCTGCCTCTTCACCGCCGCACCCTAGCTCGTCCAAAACCCTGAAGACCCGCTGAACTCGCGAAGCACCATAGTCAGTTAAAACTCCAGGGTTCCAAACACACCCACCCAAAAACCTTGACACCCACCGAACCCTAAGAGCCCTAATCCTTGAAGCCCTCAGAAAAAGCAAGGCACGGCTGCCTCATCTCCAAACCCTAAACTTCCCTAAACCCTACCTTAAAGGGATCCATATAGGGGTTCCTTTAAAGGGATCTATAGGGAATTCCTTTCACTGTAAAGCCTCAGCCCTGACCACAAGGTACGGCTGGCACCGAGTGGAGCGTCGGGCCGCGAACGCGGAAGCGCTCGCAGATGGGCCCCAAGAGCACCCGACTCGGATCCTCCGGGGCTTCATGGATAATGTAGGGGCCTCAATAAAGTAGAATATTTACCCCGAAAGTCTATTGCAATTATTTGACCCTTATATTTCGCGTTACTTGAGGAGGATTAAGAAACAAGGCGGAATACATAAGGGTTGCTGCACTGTATAAGTGTTACCATCACAGGGTTACCATGGGTTAGGGGTTACCATACAAGACTTTGGCTGGAGGGTTCATGGTTCACGATTTAGAAGAACCTCGAAAGCGGAGGATTGAAGGTCTTGCTTGAGAGAGTTGAGATTCACGTGGGTGGTTGTCAAAATTAGGGTCCCTTCTTGGGCCCCTATTATAATACGGCACCTGTTCTTTAGGATACCCAACAAGGGACCCTATTTTTGACAGCTACCCACGTGTTGACGGTCGGTTGATGTTCTGGAATCCATATCATGAGGACATGGGTTTGGGGTGCAGGTTTCAGGTTTCGGCTTGCCCCACACCCTGAACCGTCGGTATGAAAAAGTCTGCCTGCTGCAACCGACAATCGACTAGATCACATGTCACAAGCATTCAAGCATGACGGTGGCAAGCTGTTGCCAAGCCGACTTACTGAAATTCGTAACGCCTCACACTCCCTGAGGTGGCAGCCAGGTGGTCGTATCGCCTATCTCAAGCCCAGATATTTGACAAGGCACACTGGCTGCCTGCATTTGTGAGGTTTGCAGTGCATTCGCAAGTACCTGTTTGCCAGCTGCGACTTTGCTTGCAGCGGGCATTGTCGCGACGACCGGGATAGCATGGACGAGCGTATGCACTGCTGCCAATACCGCGACTCCCACCACGACGACGATGACATCCGCTGCTACCACGACTGCTTCCTACTCCTCTCGACTTACTACTCCTCCTGCTTCTGCTGTTACTGCAGCCGCTTCAGCTGCTGCTCCTGCTACTGCCAGTGCTACCGCTACCTGATCCGCTGCCTGCTACCACACTGCCACTGCCACTGCCACTGCAACCACCACCACTGCCACCGCCACTCCCTGGACGACGACTGCTTCCGCACCGCACGTTGAGGGTGCTCACCGTGACGACGCAAACGACGACGATGATCGCCACAGCCAAGACGATGACGAAGACGACAGCAACAGTGACGACGAGCTTGTGCCTTCTCTGGTTGTTTTCGCACAAAGCCCATACAAAGTCCAAGTATTGTGTGGCTCCGAGCGAGACAGCAACTGCATCAGCCTGTATATCAGGTATTCTGCCTTTTGCGGCAGGGGCTGGATGCCGGTGCCCCAGAGCAGCATGTCGACCCCGTCTCCAGCAAATCCACTTTCAACAGCACCGACCGGGGCGGTTTTGGGGCATTTCGACTGGGCTTCTGGCCGCAGTCAAGGCCAAACGCAGCGGGATCGCGACATCCGTGTGCTCTAAAGCACGCGCCCCAAGCAAACCCACGACAACACACAAACCTAAAGCCCTATACTCTACAGTTTGAAGCACCAAACCAGGTGTGCTCTCAGTTGGCGGATGCCTGGCGAACAGGCCTCCACTAGTGAGAGCTGGTTTCTAGGAGCAAGGTTAATAAATAAACTTGTGTTGTTCGTGTTTGGATGGCCTCCGTCGCAAGCTTCAGATGTAAGAGACTTGCATATTGCTTTGAGTCGGTCTCAGCATTACATCCAAGTCTCACAGGCCAGCTCATGTGTCTCCCACGAAGTGGAGAGCAGTGAACCAGCCACATAGTGCAAGTTGGGAAGTTTGAGACATGGAAAACGCCGTGCACCTGCATGAATGTTTGAGAGGTGTGGGGAGCATCCTCCCGGTTGTTGCAACTTCTCGCAAACAGTATCTCAAAACCACGAAGCAGAATATTCGCCAGGTAGGATCCACCACGCAGGAATGCTTCAACCAAGTGCTTCCCCGACCGTGAAGCCCTTCAGAGTCGTCTAGGCACATTTTGAAGCAGTAGCGAGATGGACTTGTGTGACAGCAGGGTTTGGGTGAGTCTGTATAAAGCTCATTAGGCATATTGGCAAGTTTGAACTTTGGGGGTTTTTATGGGGAGACTGGTAATCAAAGTGTTTACCAAGTTTACCTCACATGTCGGGGCACCAAAGCTGCACTGCCCAAGTCCCGCTTGGCTTCACAACGTCTTCCCCGAGAACCAAAGGCGACAACACAAGTAGCCGCATCCTTTGCCTGAAAAGCTGCAGACAACCCCCACCCCACTCCAACCCACCACCTGGCACCTGGCAGATTAGGTTGAGTACTCAGGGTTTAGGAAGGGATGCGCAAACCTTGCGCCACAGCCATGCCCCTGGCTGCAGATTGATCTCTGCGGCACGTAATGGAGGCTTTCATCCGGAGTGCGTGCATCATAATTTCCCTACAATTCTGTAAACTTAGGGGTACTTAGAAATAATGCTCAATTTTTGGTTATTATTATAATCCCTAAGAAACAGCTAGAATGATGGGTTCTAAGTTCAGTATAGTAAAGCCTAATCCGCCAACTTCCTGAGCCCTGAAGAGAGGTGCTCGAAGAAGAACAAGGCCTAGACTCTAGACACACTAAAGAAGAGCATTAGCCCTAAGGCGAAAGCCCTGCACCCTCAACCCAAACGCAAAAAAACATATCAAGCTTAAACCTAACATACAACCCCCATTACAGACCCTAAACCAAACTAAAACCCCAAACCCTAAACCCCTAATACATCCGGTCAACCCGCCTACATATGCCCAATTCGCTTAGTAGCTGAGCAGGCAGCCTTTGGGATTTTGAGGTGTGTATAATTCCCGGGGCTCCTTATTACCAGTATAGCCTCCTTAGGAATTATTATTGTGTATTTTTGTTCATATAAAACCCAAGAGACTATTAAACATATTTTTTATTATGGTTCTAAGGGGGGGTATAGATAAGTACAATATTTTATACCCCAAACCAATGGTCTGATTCCTAGGGATTGAGTGGGTAACCTTCAACTTTTGGGGGCTTACAGAACCCTACTATAATTTCAGAGGTTAAGATTTTTTGGGATGGGGTACACAGCCCCCATACTTCAGGGTTGGCGAGACGGGGTTGAACATTCGGGGTTCAGGGTTTAGGGTTTCGGGGTCGGCCCCTCAGAATTATGAAGGCTTCTGCAGTCCCTAAACCCCTAGACCCCTAAACCCCTCCCGAAACCCTGAACCCTAAATAAACCCTGAACCCTAAACCCCTAAACCCGAAACCCTGAACCCTAAATACACCCTGAACCCTAAACCCCTAATTCCCTAAACCCAGCTTAGAAGGGGCCCCCACCCTGTAATAGTGGTATAATAGGAATATTATAGGGCTCTAATATAGTCCTTATAGTCACTATTACAGGGTGGGGGCAGCTTCTAAGTCATAGCTGGGTAACATTTTAGAGCTTTTTGGGGTACTTGAACCCAATAGGGAATAAACATGTACATTTATAATCCTATCCCAACAATGAACGAGGCTTGCTCAGAGCCCAGTCGCCAAGAGCTTTCTGGGTTTGCTTAGGTGTTTTTTGGTCAGGGTTTTATGGGGTTTTAGAGCTTAGGGCTTAGAGTGCAGGTTTTTGGATTTAGGATATTTTGAGATCTTTCTTTGAGGTTTTATTGGTAAGGGGTTTTGTCTTTCTAATCAAGTTCCTACTACTGGGGCCTTGACATTCCGCGAAAAGCTCTCAAGGGCTCATGGGTTGCGTCTTTAAGAATCCTTCTCCCAGATCCCTCTTTCAAAACCCAGCCGGCCCGACCGTGAACATGCAGCAGATTCCCAGAGAGCCCAATACACCTTAGTTAAGGAATATACCCTAAATAATAAGGGGGTTCATATTATGATTTAAGCTATATTCCTTAGAAGCTGCCCCCACCTTTTAATAGTGGTATAATAGGAATGTAATAGGGCGCTAATATAATCCTTATAGCAGCCTTATAGTCACTATTACAGGGTGGGGGCAGCTTCTAATATATTCCTTAATTAAGGGCTATTGGGCTCTCTGGATTCTGCATTGAGCATAGAGCCGCCTGCAGCACAGCCAACAACAGCGATAGCTTCACTTTTAAAGAAAGAAGCTGAGTAGTATAGTATAATATAGTATTGTAGTAGTATAGTATTCTATTATTATAGTAGTATAGGAGTATAGCATAAGAGGATTAGAATCCGAAACTACGGAGCCCTTGGGCCGGCTTAGGCCTGGTGAGGCCGCTACAGCCCTACGTGCACTGTGGTACACACCATGGTAAGCCTTGTCGCACACCCCTTTAAGCACAAGGCTCTATGATCCCTAAAGATGATGCTCCCCTACAATCAAGCGCTGCTTCAGGCAACCATTCGCAAGTGGCTCCGTCAGCAGCTTCTAGATGCCGAAGAGGCCACTGCTTCCGACTGCGACTACTACTACGACTTCTACCCTGACGACTGCTGCTACTGCTACTACTACATTGTGCCGGGAATTGAGGGCCGCTGATTGCGACCAAGATATTGCTAATCTGGCCTATCTTGCCCACCTTGGTCCGGCAAGTGGTGCAAGTGGCTTTTGGTCAAGGTGGGCAAGATGACCATGACTGCCTCCCCCCTCCCCCAAGGTGGGGCAAGTGGCTTTTGGTCAAGACGGGCAAAATCGTGCTGCAATCTTGACTGCCCCCGCCCCTTTCCCCACCCTCCAAAAAACAGATGGGCAAGTTTGCCGCGCAAACTTGGTCAAGTATCGGCCCTCGTTTCCCGGCACACTACTACTACTACTACTACTACTACTACCACTACTACTACCACTACGACTACCACTACTACTACTACTACTACTACTACTACTACTACTACTACTACTACTACTACTACTACGACTACGACTACGACTACGACTACGACGACTACTACTACTACTACTACTACTACTACTACTACTACTACTACTACTACTACTGCTACTGCTACTGCTACTGCTACTGCTAGTGCTAGTGCTAGTGCTACTGCTACTGCTACTGCTCCTGCTCCTGCTCCTGCTGCTGCTGCTGCTGCTGCTGCTTCTACTACGACAAGACGCTGCCTTGCAGGCGTCGCGAAGCTGGCGATTGCGAGCTATCCAGGCCACGAACTCAGACCTTTTCGAGTAGATTCCCTTTGCGACATCCCAAAATTTCGTCGCAGTGCAGAAGATGTCTTTACTGTCTTTGCAGATCCTAAACCCCTACACCCTTAAACCCCCTAAACCCCTTAAGCCCTAAACCCCTAAACCCCTAAACCCCTTAAACCCTCAACCCTAAACCCCTAAACCCTATGTTTGGGCAGAGTGGAGCAAGCTCATGAGACCCATGTGGCCTAGCCAGGCGTTGTCCTTCCTTCAAGATGGATGTAGCATAGCTCGCTCTTGTCAACGAGTTGTTTCCGTCCTTGGCACAAACCATTTCGATTTCACTGCAAAGGACAGAAGCTCGTCGGATGCAACAGTCTGAGTTGGCGAAGTGTGCATGGCGCATATCAGTTCAATTCTGTCCCTATTAAATGGGAGTTTCCGAAAATGGGGGTACCTTATTTTGGAATCCTTATAATAAGGATCCTACTATTTAAGGTACTACATTAGGGTCCCCTATTTCGGAAACTCCCAAGTATCATCGGCACACAGCTGAACTGCTCGCCAAGGTGGAGGCAGAACTTCGAGCTTTGCAGGCGGAGCTGGTGATCAAATGGGTAGTTGTCAAAATTAGGGTCCCTTTTTGGGAACCCTGCATAGTAGGTGCCGTATTATAATAGGGACCCAAAAAGGGACCCTAATATTGACAACCACCCAAAATGTTTCATGATAGGGACAATGATATCTGCACCGGCAAAGTCAGACTCATGGTATGGGTGCAGCGCTGCTGACGAGGATGATGGTGATGAAGATGATGGTGATGGTGGTGAAGACGACGATGCCGTGACATTGATAACTGTGGTGATGCATGTAGCAATAGCATATTTTTGCTACTGCTAGTGCTACTACTACTGCTGCTGATGCTGCCGCTGCTGCCGCTCCTGCTCCTGCTACTGATCCTGCTGCTGCTAGAGGACAGTGATGCTCCTGCTGCTGCTAGAGGACGTGCGCGATCTTCGCAACCGCGGCCCAAGGGCCAAGACTAGTCTACATCTATATCTATACCTATACGTACATGTACAATGTTGAGCATATCTTTTTCCTCTTGGTAAATAGTAAATAATGTATGGCCCTGCTGGCAATCCGAAGCTTCTAAGTTGAAGGCAGATTCGCCAGCGACCGCCGATGGGGAGGCCATTGACTTTGAGTGGAGGGTGTGGGCTGGTGTTGGTTCGAGCTACTTCCTAAACCCTTAAACTCTAAAACCCTAAACTCTCCGAGACCGAAAAAAGGGACGTTTACAAACAAAAGCCTAAACCCAAGCCTAGTATCTTCCTAAACCCCTGACCCCTAAACCCTAAACTCTCCGAGACCGAAAAAGGGATAAACCCAAGCCTTGTATCTTTGAGGTTGCGGATTTAGGACTTCCGGGCTTCGGGCGCCTATCCGTTCTCGGATTATGGGGTTTAGGGTTTAGGGGTTTAGGGTTTAGGGCTGGGAGCCCAGATTAGACATATAATTCGCTGGGGAAGGATGATTTGTGATCGTTTTAGCCTAGGAGGGGGTCCGGCGGGGGTGCTAGAATTCTGCTGCTTAGGTTTTGGGGTGTAGGGTTTAGGGCCGGGTTCCCTCTAGTTACAGACTCAATATCCTGCTGTTCTTGGAAATTGGGTCCTTCTGAGGTGTCAAGGCGTTCGACCCTAAACCCTAAACAGCAGATTCCAGACCCCTTCGTCATCACCCTTGCAGCTTAGTAGAACTCTGATGAAAAGACTCAAGAAGAAGACATACTGACAATGGATAAAAATATGGATTCCTTTGATATTCTACTCTGTCGACCTGGGGCTCATCATCGCCAGATCCGCAAAGTACCGGCTTTAGGGCAGGTGGCGGATTCTGACTCGATTCCCCCCGACGACGAAAGCACCAGACCCAGTTGCTACAGAGCATTGCCTGCTTACAGGAGCTTGTAATGTAAGACGGGATTGCGTAGACATTCCCCCGGCAGTATGCCCGTTCACCCAACCTCTGACTTGAATCCCTGCGAGGCAGACGCCCGGGAGGGTCAGGAAGACATGCAGGCCGCGCCGGAGTTGGGTTTGAGGTTCGCGGAGCTGGATGGCAATGCATTTGGCCCATTTGGCAGCACCGTGAACTACAGTAGGACATGATGGCCATCATGATTATTGGAGTCTTGGTGATGTGGCTGGGGTTTGGATGAGAGAAAGGTAGCAGACCTGAATCCCCAATCCGCAAACTACTATGCATCAAACCTACCTCTGAAACAGCTGCTTCTGCTCCTACCGGGCCCTAAACGGCCACAGGCAGAACTTGACATTCCTAAGCCATACACCCTTGCACCCTAAACCAGGAAATTATCCCCTGCTGAATCCATAAGCCCCAGCTGTTCTGCCTAAAAACTTCCTACAACGCGGACCAGCTTTACCTCAAAACCCCACAAAGAGCCCGCACAACACGCGCAGAAAGTTCCTGAACAGCCCGATAAGCTCCCGAACCTAAATCTCCAACTACTTCGCCTGGGACCATAACCGCCAGCAGCCCTAAGCCCAAAGCCTAAGCCGCCGACAGCCGAAATCCAAAGCCTCTAAACAAAAGCCCTAAACCCCAAAGCTACATTCCGTAGCCCCTTTCCCATGATCTGCATCCCGAAGTAGCCTTGTAAGGAGGAAGCGTTAAAGGCTAATAGTCATCACACCCACCGCCACCGCCGCCACCTTTCGATATACGTATTCGAAAAAGTACATATACAGACATGTATAATATGTATATTATATCTATATGTATGTATGTGTATATATTTATATATGTATATCCCATATATATATATATATATATATATATATATGTATATATATATATATATATACACACACACATACATACAAGCCAACAACCCTGGCCAGGTGGTGCTTAGCCAGGTCCTTGGGTTGGAGAAGCAGCGGGATGCCATGGATCCCTGGAGAGCGAAGTTGCTGGAGGCGAGCTTTTGGGCTCTTGTTTGGGTTGTTTAGGGTTTGGGGGTTTAGGGGTTTGGGGGGTTTGGGTTTTAGGGTATAGGATTTCGGGTACAGGGTTAGGGGTATAGGGTTTGGGGGGGGCAGGCGTTTTGGGGTTTAGGGGTTTGGGGTTTAGGGCTGTGGGTTTTGGGATGTACGGGCTCGAAGCTTAGGGTTTATGGTTTAGGGTTTAGTGGCTTGAGGGGCCCGAACGGGCTTTATAGGGGCTTTATCATTTGATGGTTTTAGGTTGGGCTCATGAACCCCAGCTGAAATTACAGTAAGGGTTGTGTAGGAATTTCTGCAAAGGTTTGTAAGGTGTTCAATCTTTCTGTCTTTAACGAGGTTTTGTTTAGGATGTAGTGTGGCAGGGCTTTATAAGGGCTTTGAAGGTGTTTCGGCACGGCTTTATAGGGGCCCAGGGGTTACGTACGGGTGTACATGTACGGGCTTACAGGGCATGAACAACAGGCTGACAACAGGGCCCGATGCGGGGAGTATTTGGAATTTTGTAAGGGTGTTGTGGCCTGCCTTGATTTTCCTTGAGCCCCAAATCTATTAGTTGCACGGTTAGGATCCTAGCAGGTAGCAAACAAGAATCACAACAGCGGCTATACCCATAGGCCCCATAATAGTTCCTTTTTGGGGCGGGAACCTCAAGCTGCTAGTCCCAAAGTCGAAACTCCGAGCAAAAAGCTCACACTGCGAAAGACCTCGAAACTCTGAGGTTTAGGATCCGGGTTACGCCCCGAACCTCACGAAGACAACATACGGGAGTTTCCGAAAATAGGGGACCCTAAGATAGTACCCTAAATTGTAGGATCCTCATTACAAGACCCCAAAACAAGATACCCCTAATGCTCGGAAACTCTAAACCCTAAACCCTTTATAGAACCCTTATAGATCCCTTTAAGGATCCCTTAAAGGATCCCTTTAAAGGAACCCGGAAACTCCCACATATCAAAACACAAGCCTGACGAGGATGTTGCAGCAGCCAAGACGGAGGCGGAGGCCGCCTGGCACGCTAGTGTTTCTTAGGGTTGTTACTATAAGGGTACTATAAGGGTTCCTTGAAAGGGCTCTATAAGGTTATAAGGGTACTATAAGGGTTCCTTGAAAGGGCTCTATAAGGGTGTAGAGTCCGAAATTGGGGCGTACCTGGGTTTAAGGTTGTGGGTTTTGGGTGCAGAATGTAGGTGCCGGTGCAACGAAGGGCTGTCTTTGTCGTCACTGGTAGCACGTAACTAGCAAGACTTACAGCAATCATCGTCTAAGCACTGTCGCAGCAGCAGCAGGAGGAGTAGTAGTAGGGCAGAGCAAAATTACCGACAGCAATCGTCGTCTAACTACGGTTACCGCAGTAGGAGGGGTGGCAGCAGTAGTAGTAGTAGTAGTAGCAGCAGCAGTAGCAGTAGTAGCAGTAGTTGTAGTAGTTGTAGTAGTAGTAGAAGTAGCAGTAGTAGTAGTAGTAGTAGTAGCAGCAGTAGCAGTAGCAGTAGTAGTAGTAGTAGTAGTAGTAGTAGTAGTAGTAGTAGTAGTTGTAGTAGTTGTAGTAGTAGTAGTAGAAGTAGCAGTAGTAGTAGTAGTAGCAGCAGCAGCAGTAGGAGTAGGAGTAGGAGTAGGAGTAGGAGTAGGAGTAGGAGTAGGAGTAGGAGTAGTAGTAGTAGTAGTAGTAGTAGTAGTAGTAGTAGTAGTAGTAGTAGTAGGAGTAGGAGTAGGAGTAGGAGTAGGAGTAGTAGTAGTAGTAGTAGCAGGAGGAGGAGGAGGTAGATTCCCGGTACACTAGATTATTTTTACAAAAATCGAGAGGGCACGCCCCTCTGAGACCAAAAACCTTCCAAGAGATCCTACTTCCACCATTCCAGGAAACCATGTACCCCGTACAAGACCCTGATCAGCTCTTGAAACTCGAGAGAGCCCAAACTGTCCTCTTGTAATGAGAAACAAAAGCAAGAATAGAGAGAGAGAGAGAGAGAGATATATATATATATGTATATATATAGCGCATGTAAACGCATATCTCACCCTAAACCCTACACCTCGACCCTAAACCCTGGAAGTGCACCCAAGCGTCCTCCCTGAACCCAAAACCCTAAGCCTTTGAATCCCGGTAAATCCTACACCCTAAACCCTACATCCCCAAACCCTTAAACCCCTGAACCCCCATACCCTGAACAATGAACCCCCCATCCTTACCGTTGGTTAGTAGGGAATGGAGGAATGGGGTATAATTATAACTACTGTTACTACCATTCTTCCATTCCCTACTAACCAAAGGTAAACCCTGAACCCCTAAACCCTAAACCCTATAGATCCCTTTAGAGGGAACCCTATAGATCCCTTTAAAGGAACCCTATAGATCCCTTTAAAGGAGCCCAACGGTAAGCATCAGGATCTCCAGCGCAGTCTCGAGGAACTCCGCGCGCGGCTCCCGCGCGCCGAGCGTGAGGCGGCGCGGGCCGGCCCGGGGCCAAAAGGGTTTAAGAGTTTAGGGTCTAAGAGTTTAGGGTTTAAGGGTTTAGGGTTTAAGAGTTTAGGGTTTAAGAGTTTAGGGTTTAAGGGTTTGGGGGCCAATATAAATGGCCTTAATCGTTAGAACAGGGTTTGGGGTACATTATACTTATATAACTAGAATCAGGGACCCCAAAACCTTATTCTAATTATTGAGGCCCCTATATTAAGTGTTTAGGGTTTAAGGGTTTATGGTTTAGGGCCGGGGCCAAGAAAGAACCAAGCAGTAGAGTAGGTAACCTTGTAACTTTTTTGCTGTGCATTTTGCGGTACTGTACTACCATAGCTACCTGAAGGAGATGTCATGTGGTTTAGGGTTTAGTTTAGGGCTGGTTTGAGGGTTTAGGGTGCAGGCTTGTGGGTGCAGGATGTGGGATATAGGGTTTTGGAGTTTGGGGTTTCAGGGTTCAGGATTTAGGAATTAGGGCCGTTTTTCTTTTTGAGCGGCAGGGGAGGGGGTTTGGGTTTGTCTAGGTGTGTTTCTGAGAGTCTCTTTTGATGAGAGGGTGGGGTTTTAGGGTCGCCAGTTCTGCACCTCCGGTTTAGGGGTTTAGGGTTTACGGTTTGAACGCTCCATTTTTTGGGTTTGGTCCGGTTTAGGAATCCCAATCACGGCTGCCGAGTTTGGTCGTCTTGAGTAATTCCCAGGCCGAGAAGCAAAGACTCTGGAAGAGGAGCCACTTGTGAGCTTTGGGGTTTCAACGAAATATAGGGGCCGGATGAATTATCAATACTGTTCCGTAGGGTTCCCCATTATAACAACAGTATAATATTCCCCAAAATGTCGTTTCGATTATGAAGACCCCGAAATTAGATCCCCGACTAATTAACACCCTCTTTCGACTTTTGCTGTGTCTCCCTTCTACTGCTTACTTTGGAAATTTTCGATGGTTCCGACCCCGGGTTCCCTTCAAGGTATGTTTTCTTTCGGTCTCAGTGCCTACTATAAAGGTGGGACTGATAAGTACTGTATCTCTTTATGGTCCCTGTAGAATACTGTGTGGTATAATCCCCGACCGACACACACACACACACACACATACACGCACACACGCATTCGCACACGCACACGCACACGCACACGCACACACACACACACACACACAAACACACACACACACACACACGCGTGCACAGATACGCCCTGATCTAGTTGACTGTTATTGAGGCCCCTACATTCTGGGTTGAAGGACTGTTTTGACTAAAATCCCGTTCAAGATGTCCGTTTGTTGCAAGTTGGCATATTGCAACACGGCGTCCCCAGAGACTCCAATATCCCTTGATTAAAGGAATACTCCGAAAATCATATTAAGGATCCTACGATAATTTAAGGGTATATTCCTTACTTAAGGGGTATTAGAATCCCCTAAACCCCATAGATCCCTTATAGATCCCTTACAGGAACCCTAACCCTAGGTATATTCCTTAAGGGATTTTGGAGTCTTTGGGTCCCTTGGAGCTGCCTTTGTTTCTAAGTTTTGGGTCCGGCTTCATTCTCGGGGTTTAGGGTTTAGGGTTTAGGGTTTAGGGGTTTAGGGGTTTAGGGTTTAGGGTTTAGGGTGTAGGGTTCACTTAGGGGTACGTAGAAACAATTTTTAACCCCTGACAGCCCTGAAAGTCAGTACCCCCTGAACATTCCTGGTCCCGGAGCTGAAACTTAGGGGTACTTAGAAATAGCTTTTAATTTTGGGTTATTATAATCCCTAAGACACAGCTGAAATTATACTTTTGTTAGGGTTCTAATTCAGTAGGGTTCAGGGTTCAGCGTGTTTCGGGAAGGTGCCCCTGTCTTTAGATCTGTGCCTGCAGGGTTACTATAGGGGCTTTAATAAATACCTATACTATTTTGGGGGATTCCTTGTAATTATTATGGTATAATGGGACCTCAAAACCCTATTCTAATTGCCCCCTATACTAGGGTCCAGGATTCTTTCGTGCTTCGGGAAGGTGCCTCTGTCTTTAGATCTGGGCCAACAGGGTTGTTGCACAAGGTTAGGTTCTTGGAGCGGATCCCCGTTCATTCAAAGGGTGGGCTATATAATGGGTATATAATAGCTATATTAAGGGTATATACCTAGGGGTCCTTATTAAGGGTCCCTCCTTTTACCCTTGGATTCATGCATGTAGGATTTATGGGATACACACGAGCTGTGCCCAACTTTCCAGGAGCGTGCCCAAGCCAAAGCTGCTCATGAGGCGTTGGGTTTTGGGGTTTACGGTTTTAGGGGTGAGGTTTACGGGGTTGAGAGTTTAGGGGTTTAGGGCTTTCGGGTTTAGGGTTGAGGGTTTTAGGGTTTTGGGTTTTGGTGATAGGGAGTCTTAGGGAGACCCCTTAAAGGGGACCGACCCTTCACTTCTCAACCCTACTTAACCCTACTTCTGGCTCTCTTTCGAGGGACCTCATTGAGAGGGTCTATATCCCCAAGGGTCATTTTTACTCGGATGCTTTGCCGCCTTGCCGTGACCATACATGGAAGCCCCTATTATCCTCCCAGGGAACCTATCATCATTTTCAACGGAGCTGCTCTGAAACCCCAGCAGCCAAATTAGCGAGCTGAACTCGTGAAACCCGATGATGCCTAAGCCGACTAAACCTAAACTCTAGGACTCGGAAAACATGCTAACACCCTCCAGACACCAGAGGCCCGAAACTGAAAAATCACATCCCGAAGACCTCACATAGGACTTAGGATTCGAGGAGCCCATGGCTCCAAGGTTGTTTGTATGGGCCCCTAATATGGGCCCTTGGGCCTAATATGGGCCCTTGGGCCTTTTTGAGGAGGTTCTAGGGACCCTAAAGAGGGGATATGGGGTATATAGTAGGTGTATAGGGATCCCAAGGCTAAGGGCCCATACTGGGGGCCCATGGTTTCAACCGTTGAATGGTTCAAATGTAGGAACAAAGATGATGATGCCAATCTTGCCACTTCTGCATCAGGGCCCCTTGCCCAAGCCGATGAGCAGAGGTAGCCGGACTGTACCACCTAGGGGGTTTTCGGGCTTACATTAAGCCGGAATTTTGTGAGCAGGAGGTGTATTATGCATTGATCCGAGTTTCAAAAGAAAAACCAGTCTCCCAACAACCCACGGACCCCGACAACGCCAAAATCTCGAAGGGACCTCGAGCAACTAAACAAAGAATCCCAGCAACTCCTATGCACTAAACCCGACATCAACCCTGCATTCAACCTTACACATGCACACTACCCCTAAGCCCTGAACCTAAACCCTAAACCCTGAATACAGGGACTAACATTCCGACTAACCGAACGGGCAGACGGAAAAGAGCGCTCAAAGAAAAAGAGTACAGGGACTAACCATGTCTCCTCTTACTTACACCGAAGCCCTTAAGGTCTCCTTCAAGGCTTCCTTCAGGGGCTCCTTCACGGCTTCCTTTAATCCAAGGCTAAAAGGAGGGACCCTTAATAAGGGCCCCTAGGTATATACCCTTAATATAGCTATCATACACCCATTATATAGCCCATTATAGGGTAGGGGTCCCCATTGAGGGTCCCTCCTTTTCCCCTTTGATTTAAGAGAGCCGCCGGGCAAGGCACGCTGCGCAAAGGCGGCCCAAGAGATCCACCAGTTGCTCGAAGACGCAGGCACCTTTTTATAGGGTTTATCAAAACCCCGGAATAACCTACCTTTTAAGGGCTCCTTATTGTGATTTCCTTATGTAAGTCCATGAAATGGTAGGTTGTTCCGGGTTACGGTAGGGTCTACGGTTTAGGGGTTTAGGGTTTGGAGTTTAGGGCTATAGGGTCTATCATACTCTATCATACAATGAAGTAAGCTTCATGGCCTTCCCACAGCCAGTATCAGTGTCGCAGGTTCTTGCGTTCAAGTAAGGCAATCTCGCCACAACCAATTGGATTTTGCAGTACTTTATTTGTAGACGTCGTGCTCCTCCATTAATTATCCCGTGATCAGTTTTGGCCGAGGGATCCATCCCTTTGAAACCTGGAGCATTAAGCTGCTGGCGCATTAGAGGTTAGAGTGTCCCAGGTTCGGCAAGGATGTCTCCTATGATTGGGTTGAGGGTCTCGGTTCTAAGGGCGGTTTAGGGGTTTGGAGTTAAGAGGCTTGGCAGTTGTTGAGGTCTCCCTACATCGTCGGTCTTATGCGGTTCTAGATCCGCAGCTTCCGAGCACCAAGCCCAAACCAGATCTTGGGAGGCTCTGAACCGTGGCCGTTAGACCCTAAACCCCTAAACCCTCAACCCAGGTTTAGGGTTTCGGGTATTTGTCCTTGCTACCCGAAAATCCTTCTCCTAAAAGTCACAAACCCGAGTGCTTCTTGGTCTCGACAGAATTCAGGATGTTTAAATGCTACTGCTGTGTGCTTATGTTCACCGCTGTTTCATAGCCGTGCAATTTGCTTCAGACGGCAACTGCGTTCGTTTTCACACAATTCCAGATCGCTTTCGTGTTCCTTGCCCTCGGTATCTAGGATGCCCAGTAGTACCCTTATTCCCTTTTTGTAGTCCTAGGTTCCTTATAAAGTTACCCGATACCAAAAAGAGAGGCCTTTTTATTCTTAGGTTACTGGGTAGCCTCGGTATTCAACCTCAAACCTAAGCGCATCGAAGCCCCAAAGCCTGATCCAAGACCAAACCTCATGCCCTAAACCCCTAACCCAAAAAGCTCTATATACGATATACCCTAAACCGCAAACCTGAAACCCTCTAACCCTATACCCTAAACCCCTAACCCTGTATACCCTTAACCCTATACCCCTAACCCTAAACCCCTAACCCTAAACCCCTAACCCTTTACCCCCAGCCCTAAACCCCTAAACCCCCTGAACCCGGAGGCGTTCGACCTGCCAGCGGGCTTTTGGGTCTCACGCCGGGGCTTTAGTCCCCGATGCGAATTTTGGGTGGCCTAATTGGGTTCAGGGGTTTAGGCGTAAGGTTTGGGGTTAGGGTTTTAGGGGTTTTGGGGTTTAGGGTTAAGGTGTAGGGTTTTTTGGGTTTAGGGGTTTGGGGTTGAGGGTTGAGGTTTAGGGGTTTAGGTTTAGGGTTAGGGTTTAGGGGTTTTTGGGGGTTTAGGCTTCATGTTTAGGGGTTTTGGGGTTTAGGGTTTAGGGGTTAGGGTTTCTCGCAGGTTCTTGTTTGTGTTGATGGAGTTTCTCTCAGGTGGTTGCTTTGACAGGGGTTTTCAGGGTTTCAGAGCACCGTACACCATACATTAGAAGCTGCCCCCACCCTGTAATAGTGGTATAAGAGGGATAGAATAGGAATATAATAGGGCCCTAATATAATCCTGCCTTATAGTCACTATTACAGGGTGGGGGCAGCTTCTACACCATACACCTTTGGGGCCCCTAAATCGAACCCGGAGCCTCTTGGGCTCCTCTATTCCCAAGCCTAACATGCAAAGCCATAACATAAAACGCCCTAGCCCTACGGGGTGCATGAACATCGGAGCTTCAGAAAACAATGCATTGAGAAGGAACTCGGTTCGCATCCGGAAGAGATCTAAACCGTGAACCCTTGTTCAGAGTTCAGTGCCAACCAATCATCGTTTTCTGGAACCGTCGATTATACCTCACCGTCGGAAAATATCTAGGCTCGATATTTAGGGATCCAAGCAGGACATAAGCATAACTATTATAATATTATGATTATGATATCCCTACCTAACTGGGCTTCATCATAAGGAGATTTATACGTGATATCCCTATCCTTGTTTTGCTTATGTGTTTTGGGGGCCCTAGATGTAGCGCTACATGCGCTAAGCGCGACGATCTCGTCCAAGAAGTTCAGGTATTGCCAGGAAGACTACGACAACTGCTAGGGCCGTATATTGCGAGCATAGTCATGATGATCTGCAAAATAGCATGGTGGCATATGCAGAACATGCTATGGTATGATGTCGTGTAATGAGATAGGATAACATAGAGCAGCAAGATGTAGTATTCTTTGTTCGGTTGTACTAACAAAGCATAGTATATTCGACTAGAATATATAAGATGATACCATATGACACCAGGTAAGATAATGTAGTATCAAATAATATGATATAACAGAGTAGATTAGTAAAATGAAGTGGAGGTTTAATATGATACTCTACGACAGTGATGGGAGTAGGTGATCTCCCAACAAACGCTGAGCTCCAAAGCGAGGCAAGGGGAGGCAGCCTTGGCTGTGTTCGACAACTCGGTGGAGCAGCTTGACGGAGATGTCAAGGAGAGCTTTCACCTTGCTGCTTTGGGTTTAGGGGTGTAGGGCTCTGGGGGTTTGGGGGTTTAGGGGTTTGCGGGTTGGGGATTTGGGGGTTTAAGGGACTGGGGTTTTAATGGTTTAGGGTTTATGGGTTAGGGGTTTGGGGGTGTAGGGCTTTGGCTGAAAGATTGCAAGGCTTTGTAGTAATTATTGCATGCCAGAAACTAGCACAGCAGCATGGTTGGATCGTGAAAGCGACTAACCATTGATATTGGGGGAGCTACGGAGCCAGGGATGATGATAGTCCCTAAGAAACAAGGAGCTAAAGAGCCAAGGGAACCCCAAAACCACAGGTTAAGCGAGCAAAGGTCCAAGAAGAGCATCCTTATCCGGGCTTGGGTTTGCATGTCGGGTTTAACGGGCCCAATCCGGAATTCTACTTCACGCTTCACATGGGCTTTGTTTGGACCGCCACTGTGCGTTGAAGCGAATCAAGGCAGCCCAGTTAAGGAATTACCCAAAGCCGGAATCAGCAGCTGTCGGGAGGAGTCCAACGAGAAGAGGGAGGAACTGCAGATGCGCCTGGAGGAGAGAGGTCGAGCTTGGAGCTTTTTGCAGACAATGCAGAACCCGGTCCTGCACAGGGTTACTGTAAGGGTATTATAGGGTTACTATAAGGGTATTATTATAGGTTTACAATGCTTTCTAAATTTCGACGACGACTATGGCTGTATACTGCTCCCACTACTTCCAATCCCAGGACTGCCAGCGCCACTACACCCGTAAGCAGACTAGACCGGGGTGTTCTTGCATGTAACTAGCTATCAGCGACCGCGATTTGGAAAATCCGGAAGCAGAAGAAGGCATTGTTATGCCATAGTATGGCTTCCCATCATGAAAGCCGAAGTGCTGTAGCACCAATATTTTTCACAAAACCCTCACGTCGCTAGGAGCTTCGGACTAGCCACGTCAACAACATCGAGCAAGCTAAACGGTGTGCTCGAGAAGTGAGTGGTGCCCGTCAAGCCCTGCCGCGGGCCAAGCCTTGCCCACAGAGCCACTCAGGAATATGCTTTAGATTTGGGAGGTGTTCTCATTATCACTACTACCGGCAGTAGTGATAGTGATGATAGCAGTTGTGATTATTCCAACTTCAGGAATGTTCCTCGATTTAGTGGTATGGCATTGCGAGTGCTGCCAGGACTACAATCTCGGGTTTCTGAGGCTTATACCCACTCATGCGCTTGACATGTGCCACCTGTATTCATGTTGACGGCTTCCTGTTCGGTTGCAGCTTGATTTCTCCCTGTCCGCAAGACCTACTTGCATTGCTGTTTAGGAGCCTCCCAGAGCAAGGACTTTATGTGCCAACTCCCATGATGCCTCGCGCGAACCGCCTAAACCGCGTGAGCCCTTGGCCTTGCAAAGCCATCGGCAATTGCCGTGCATACGAGTGCGGATGTGCTGGCGGGAGGTGCTGAGTGCACATCGACATAAAGTGTGTGCCTGCGTACGTATGTATACATTATATATATATATATATATATGTAGGTATGCTAGGTACAACCATGTACGCATACTTATCAGTTCGACGTGGCGGCTGACGTGTATATACAACCTGAACCGGGTCCCAAACCATTGACGCATCTCCTCTCGCACGAGGCAAGTTCGGCAGTCGACGATCACGAAGCTGCAGGGAGAGGTGGCCTGTCCCCTGAACCCTAAACCGACCCCCCGTAGCATTGCATCACAGCCAAGCCGATTTTAGCTAAAGGCTGTAGCAGATCTCGAGCTTAGGGCCTCCCAAACACCCATGCCCCCAAAAGGGCTTAGTTATCCAATGAAACTTGGAAGCGGCAATCCTCAAGAACACTTCTTATGACGCGTCCTGACCTTTGGGTTTAGGGTTTAGGAAGTTTGTTGAGTCCTCATAATTGAACCGGAAGATCAGCAACAGCGCTACTAGTTCCTCCAACATCACCTAAAAGCGTTGCCGGGGAAACCTGCATCCTAAGTGACCCGAGACGCCAAACCCACCTTTGATCCGGAAGCTATACATTGAGCCGTTTATAGAGCCAGAGTATGTGTATCGCGATATGACTATTTTTGTTATATTTCATGACAGTTTTATATACTATATTATATAATTATAATATATTATATTGTTTTTATTTTGTATATATGTATATGTACACATGCACTATACTATACGGCTGAGTAGGAATATGGACCCTCTGGGTTCCTTTCAGGAGGGAGGACGGGGGCACCTGGCAAGAAGACTTCTCTGGGATTTCCAGGTGGAAGTCGGAGGTAAGTCCCTAAAACATATACTAGGCCTCCCAGTGGGCCCTTTTTCCCTTTTTGTAGTCCGAGGTTCCTTGTAAAGTACCAAGAAGGGAGCTCTTTTTATTCCTAGGTTACTGGGCATCCTGGTATAGACCAATAATCTTTGCTTCGGGCTTTCGGGTTGCCGGTGTTTAGAACCAGCCTTTGTGGTTTTTGTTCGGGTCAGGTACGTTACTAGTGCTTTAGAGTCTAAAGTTTAAAGTCCCCCCACGATGTAGGTTAGGGGGTTTAGGCGACTGGTTTAGCGTTGGGTAAAGAGGTCTCAACAGTCAGTTACAGGTTTGTTTGTTTGACAGTCCCTTCATATTTACAGTATTTGAGGTCCCCATGTCAGGTTTAGGGTGCTTGCGTTTCTTCTGCTTGAGAGGGATATTGGTTTCAAGCATTCGTAGACCCTCCGTCTACCCTCTATTAGACCCTAAATGCCCTTTATTTGGGGCCATATAACCCATTTGAGGGTAGAAGGAGGGTCCTGCTTGGAGGGTCGGGGGACTTAGTAAGTAGGTAGTAAGTAGACTTATAAGTACCCTAAAAGGGACCCTAATTGGGGTTATGGTACTTATAAGTCCCTAAAATAACCAGTTACTAAGTCCCCCGACCCTCCAAGTGGTTCATAGCATGTCAACTTTCAGCATGCCCTAAACCCTAAACCCTAAACCCTAAACCCTGCAGGTGTCACGCGCCAAGGCGCGGGCAGACCGGAAGCGAAAGCAGCTAGAGGCTGGCTGCGGCGGGAGCTTGGGTTTACGGGTTTGGAGGTTTAGGGTTTAGGGGTTTGGGGTTTAGGGATTTGGGGTTTTAGGTTTAGGGGGGTTAGGTTCTGGGGTTCGAGGCTCTGAGGCTTCAGGGGGTTTTCGGATGTTGGGATTTGGGGTTTGTAATTTTGGGGGTGTTTAGGGGTTCTGGGGCTTGAGGGTGTGAGGCTTTAGGGGGTTTTCTGGGTTCGGCATGTTTTTTTTTTTCTGAAGGGGCCTTGGGCTTCAATTGATGCATGGAGATTGGTTTCTGTTTGGGCTTCAGGGTTCAGGTTCACCGTCCAAGAGATGATGGGAATAAGTGGGATTGAGGGATCTCGGAGCGCCTCAAGCAGTGAAGATATGCTTAATCTGAGGAACATTCCATTGCAAAGATTATGCACCCTGAAAGATAAGCCCGTAGATGCTGGAGAGTGTTGGATCTTAGATGCAGGCCCGGGCTGTAGTGACGGCTACACGAGGCATGTTCAGCTTCAAGGACACTCTGCAACATCCTGCGAAGGAACCCCTTGTGATGCCCCGTACTGCAGGGTTTAGGGTTTCGGTTTAGGGTGTAGTGCTTCGGCATCGAGATTTCGCAGGTCATCCATCCACTCCTGACGACAAGTCTTCTGTGAAGTCAGACAGACCTCAACCCTGAACAATACCTGATCAGAATTTAGAACAAACCCTGACTGCATTTTCAATCAGCACCAAGCAAACAGCAACTTAACAACCCCAGTTCGCCGAACATCCGATTCTTCGAAGCCTTGACTGCTTACCTTGCAGTGCCCAGACATGTTTTGATTCGTTGATCATAGCCACATGCATAATATTAACAATAATCACAGTCAGAACACCAACCAAGTCTAGTAGCAGCAGTAGCAACAGCAAAAGTAGTAGCAGGACTGGTAGTGGGAGGTATGTCGGCATTATCAAGAAGTTCATGTCAGTCTTCATGCTAGTCATAAGAATTAGCATATTCGTACTAGTCGTCATGACAAGGATAATAGTAATGATAGAAGTCAGAATAGTAATTAATATACTAGTAATAATAGTAATAGTAATAGTAGTCATAATAGCAATAATAGTAATTAGAGTCATGGTAGCATCACCAGGCCCATCTCGGACAGTCGCAGCTGGAGCTCCGGGATGCGCAGTCGCGCGCCGAAGTTGCGCAGGAGCAGCTTCGCAAGGCGTCTTTGGAGGGGGGGGCTCCAGTAAAGGGATCCCTTAAAGGGAAGCATATATAAGGGATCACTTTAAGGGTTCCCTGTTAAAGAGATCCTATAAGGGTTCCTTTAAGGGATTCTGTTAATGATTAGCTTCGCAAGGGGTCTTTCGGGGGGCTTCCTTTAAAGGGGATCTATAAGGGGTTCTTGAGGGGTTATGGGTAGTTAGGGGTTTGAGGGTTAAGGAGTTAGGGTTTGCGGTTTAGGAGTTAGGGTTTGCGTAGGGGTTAGGGTTTAGGGCTTAGCTCCGCAATCCGTCTTTGGGGGGCTCTGTAAGGGATTCTTCCGGGATTGCTTGGAGGGAGTCTTTATGCACGCCTGTAAAGGATCAATAAGGGCTTCTGCAAGGGTACTGGATGGTTTGGGGTTCAGGACTTTTGGGTATATGGGTTTAAGGGCTTAAGGTTTAGGGTTTGGAATTTGGGGTTCGGTGTTTAGGACTTTGGGAGTCAGTGTTTAGGGCTTGGGGATTAGGGTTTTCGGGGTATTCGGCTTAGGGTCTAGATGAAGTTTCACAAGGTGTAATATTCGCAGGCTTGTTTTGTCTTTTGCGGGTTTTCTGCATGGGCGGGTTGATCAACCCTAAGACCACGAACCCTTTGGAACCGCAGGCCCCTCACCTTAACCCTTAACCCTAAATCCTACACCCTTCAGCGCGATCATGGAATGATGCCCCTGCCGGGCTCTGGGAGAAAAGCAAGGAAACGATCCAGTCATTCCCCGGCGCCATTTTCGCATGGATCGGAGCCAACGTCACGTTCAGCACCCTTCCAAAACCTCAACCTCAGAGAAAAGCTCGCAGTAGACAGTGGTGTGTTCATCACAGAGTTGTGGCTTCATGCATTTTTCTGCTGCAGGGTTTTGAGGATGTGTTTATGGTCGTAGTGTCGTAATTTACAGGTTCGGGGTCTGGCTTGTAGAGTTTAGGCCGTCATGATTGCGTGAGGTTTGGAGTTCGTGGTGTCGGGTCTCTGAATGCAGACAGCCGGTGCTAGCTAAACATAGAGCGTCTTCTGAAGGCCTACACCCCAAGCCGCAAGCCCTGAACACTAAATCTTGAGTCAGCATCCCAAAGCCTGGAGATGTTTGTCTTTGACTCGCAGGTCAAGGCGCAGCACTCCCGCCAGCTCCGTGTGGTCAAAAACCAAACGACCAGTTTGACAGAGGAGTGGGATGCCCACATCCGTGAAACTGAGGCAGCAACTTTGTCGGCACATGACTTTCGCTTGCATTTTGTTCTTGTGGCCTCCTTTCTTGTGCCTACGCAGTCCACTGAGAACTAATTTACATATACTCTCCTAAACCATCCATTGCAGAGCCTAGAAACCCCAAGCCTAGCCTTATTGCCGTCGTTTTTTTGCAAATTTCCTACGCAGGTTGTTGCCTTCTGAGAAGTTTAGTTTGACGTGCGTCAAGGACCTCAGGCGAAGCTTCTTTGTGTAGGACTTCTTGGTTTCTTAGAATCTCGGGGCTACTCAGGCGGGAATTTTTGATTTTAAGGTTCGCCTGCTTTTCCTAATGAAGCAGACACCTGAGGCCAAGAGGGAGATGGACGAGCTGCTACAGTGCCCGTGACAGAATTTGCATGGGATCTTGTGTAATTATGTTTATGCCTTAAACCTTAACCCCTCAACTGCGTCTACCTGATCGACGCACAGAACCCAAAGCCTTAGAATTCAAGAGGGTTCAGCCCACTGCACCACACAGAACCTGAACAAAATTGCTGAGGCAAGAGCTCGACCTGCGCAGTAGCGAACAGCGCTTCCTGCAGCAGGAGGAGGATGTCCGCATCCAGGCAAAGCGCCCCCCTCTCCGGTTTGAGTTTAGGACTTTCGGGAGTTCGGGTGGTTTCGGGGTCAGAGGACCCTACGTTCTGAACGACCTGGGTTCAGGTCTGAGGGTTTCGGACTGACAGTAGTTGGGGTTTCGAGTCTCGAACCTCGGGATCAGTTAGCGATCCCTGGATGTCATGAGGGCTCCCATCAATCCCATCAACAAGGAAATGGGATTCCAGACACCTCAGCCACCTCAGACCCTGAACCCTGTTCAAAACCCTAGTAGTAACCGTTAGTTCTGTAGATTTACAGGAACACGTCTTTAAGTGCAATCCGCATCTCCATCCCAAACCACAAGTCGTAAACCCTAAAGCCGTAAGCCCCAACAAACTCTGAAGATAAGCCGCTGAATCCCAAGAAAGAGACCTGGGACCTAGCCCCTGAACTCCAACTCCCTAGAGGAACCCTTGTAGCAACTCTTACACGAACTTTCTAGGAATGATTGTAGTAGGCCTGACAGGAACCCTTTTGTTGGTAACTCTTGGTAACTCTGAAGGCAACCGCTATAGTGTCCTTACGGCAACCTTTCTCGGAACTCGGAACCCTGTAGGATCCCGTGTAGACACCTTATAGAAACCCTTTCAACGAACCCTGTAGAAACCCTTTACAGGAACCCCGAGCCTTCAGAGGAACCATTCTAGCAGCCCCTAAGCAGAACCGTTGGGCGATGTTAGAGGAACCCGTAACAGCACCCCAAAAGGAACCCTTAAAGGGTGCCTTACAGGACCCTCAACCCGGAACCCTTAGAGGAAGCGTCTCTGGCAGGCTCAGGAAGCCCGGGAATGTCTCCAGGCGCTGGAGTACCAGACGGAGAAGCTCCAGGAGAGGTTGTGACGGGGTTTTGTAAAGGGTTTTAGAGGATTTTTATCAGGGTTTCTAGGGGTTCAGAGGGTTTTTGCTGAATGGGGTCGAAGAGCTTCTTCTTATAGTGTTGTTTGTCAGGTTTTTTCAAGATTCCTTCGGGGTTTCAGAAGGTTCTATGAGGATTCAATAAGGGTTGTAAGGCGGTTCTCCAAGGCTTCTACAAGGATTTTATGAGGGTTCTGCAAAGCTTCTGTAAGAGTTCTACACAGGTTCTACATAGTATTACTACCCAGAAGCCCCAAAGTAGTTCCTTTTGGGGATTACCTTATAGGATTCTATATACGAACTCCAAAAAGGAACTACTTTGGGGCCTTTGGGTAACTGGGTAACTATTCAGGCTGTACACTTGGGGTTGCTATCATGAGGATCGTCCTACTTTGGGCGTCTATCTTCGGGTTCCTTCAAGTTGCTGAAACCCCCCAGTCAGGATGACCGGGAAGCACTGCTGCTTGCGCAACGGCCCCTGGAGGCGTGCCTAACTGAGGGGTTTTCCTGGGACACGTAAGATGTCTTGAAGACTGGATCATTTCATGAGACCCTACCTACAGTCTCCATTGCAGTTCCTTTTTTTGGTTATCCAATTTACATTGGAGGATCTCTCTTACCCGTAAAGTTGGTTAACCGAAACGGAACTACAATGGAGAGTACAGGAAACTAAACCAACCATCATCAAGAGTATCGGCGGTCCACTTCGCAGGCGTTTGGCAACTCGGGGGAAGGGTTTCGGGGTGTAAGACCTCGCAGTGAGGATGTAGTATCAGAGATTTTCCTACAAAGCATGTTTCGGGCTCTACGGTTCCAACCCCATTATGCTTCAAAGTGTGTCGAACGTGCTGGCCCGCCTGATAATTACTCTAATCGTGAACCCTAAACCCTAAACCCCAATCATATGCCCCAGACCCTAGCATCCTAAGCTCTGCAACAAATGGGAGCCTGCAAATTTCAGTTATGCTGCCTGATCCAAAGCAGCTTGACTGCGCCTAAACCCTAAACCCTAAACCCCTAAACCCCAAACCCTATAAACCCTAAACCCCAAACCCCAAACCCTAAACCCTAAACCCCTAAACCCTAAACCCTAAACCGTCCCCAGCACCCTTCGGCCTGAACGTCCCAAGCTGCAAGCCCGTACAGTAAACTCCATAAAGTTGGAAACCGGATTAAGGGAACCTTTAGGGTTCCTGTATAAGGGATCTTTGGGATTCCTTTAAGGGATCTATAGGGTTTAGAAGTAGAACCCAAAAAGTTGGAAACCGGATTAAGGCCAAATGGTGCTGGGATTCCCTATACATTACTCTTAAGGATTGAGGCTATTGGGGTTTCCAACTTTTGGGCTTCTACTGCAATTTAGAGCCCTCATGAATCCCGTCGAAACCCAAAAACTGAATCTCCAAAAGCGCACTGCCTCAAAGCCCCGTAACAGAATCTAGGACCCAGAGTAGGCCCTTATTCCCTTTTTTGAGGCTTAGGTTCCCTTATAAACCCCTTTAAACCAAAAAGGGCACCCTTTTTATTCCTAGGTTACTCTTAGGTCTAGGAATCGAAACAAGCGCCGGCAGGAAGAGCATGACCTGATCCAAGAGCAGGTAAAGGCCATTCGAGGTTTGTCGGAAGCGGACGCAAAGAAGTCGGAGGCCGGATCTGCCCTCTTGTTTAGGATTTAGGGGCTCAGGGTTTCGGGTTTAGGGGTTCAGGGTTGAGGCTTCTTGCGTGTTGTGTCTTTTCTGTGTTTTGGTTTAGGGTTCTGTTTTGTTCAGCTTGGTGGCTCAGGAACATCCCCGGCATCTCAAGTGCAGTTTGTAAAGCTCGTTTACACGCTAGACTGCAATGGAGTTTCGATAAATTCCTCATAAATACCGTCAAGACTGAGGATCGATGGATCCTTCAGTTGAAGACCCTCGTCTTACGGACCCGCTGACGTGAGGAAGTTTTAGGGTTTAGGGTTTACTGAACAATGACATCCGACCATTTTAATTGTGCTGCTCGCCTCTCTACAGCCCAATGGCTGAAACGTTAATGGCCATTGGGTGACCTTCAACGGTTTCCGGGTGGCAATCACCACCCGGAGGCTATCCTTTCAAACCCCCCCTGAAGCTGAAACATGACGAGCCTTCCCGACTTCGTCACCGTAGCTGCGCCAAATGCGGCAGCGATCGCTGATGTGATGAAGGGAACTGATCTCCAGGGGTTAAGCCCTAGCCCTTGTTAATCAGTTGAATCCGAAACCCTATAGACGAACAAAAACAATATGGCAGATTCTAAACGTCTAAACCCTAAAGCTTGAGGCTTTCTAGCGGATTGGACAAAGGCGGATAATGAGAAAACCACCCTAGACACTGAAACCATAAACTCCCTGAGCCCCGAACCACTGTCCTCTCGGCCTTTTTGCAGGCGATGAGATCCGAGGCGTCCGTCTACCGGGAAGAGATCGCCGCGCACCGCCTGGAGTTTGCCGCACAGGTCTGGGACTGCAGTCGGCTGTTCTTTGTTGGAGGTGGGGTGTTGGGGTTTTAGAAGATTTCTGCAGGACCTTTGAACGTGCTTGTATCAGCTAGTGAGGCTTGATACCTTAAGCCCTACGCTCTGCATCTTGATGCCGACACGCACACTCCTGAAACGACCCAAACACCCCGGCAACGACCGGCCCCTGTGGAAGGATGGCTATCATATGTTTTTGGAATGTCCCTTGATGGTGTGAAGCCTGCTGGAATCTATGAAAACCCCAGTGCAACATCATAAGACCCTTGAATCAAGCTGCACAAGCCCTACGTTAAATGCTCTTTGTCTGAACAATCCCGAACCTGAAACCCTTGAGCCTTTCAGCGCTCACCAGACCCTAAAGGTTACTTGGAGGCCCCGGGGACTTAGTAAGTCGGGTTTCAGTAGGGCTAGAACTGGGGCAACTCCATTTAAGGGTACTTACTACAACCTACTTACTAAGTCCTAAGTACACACCATTAGACCTGATAGTGCTGTAGTCCCCACGGCTCTTGAGGAGGAGGAGCTGGAGACCTTAGCGTCTCTGGAGAAGCAGGCCAAGCTAGGGTGTTGGGGTTTAGGCTGTAATATAGGGGCCTAAATGATTACCTATACTATTTTGCGAGTTCCTCATTATAACTATAGTATAGTGGGCACCAAAAAGCAGGCTGATTTTGGCCAAGGAGGTCAGCAAGAGGAGGATCTGGAGTGTTGTTGTTGTATCGGGTCTTTGGCTTACTAACTGTATCACTTGGGTACGGCCCCCACTCAGTAATAGTTGAATAATATTCATAATATAGATATAGTAGGACTAGCCCTATTATAAACTCTTACTGTATGGGAGCCGTACCTAATGTATCATCACCACCACCACCACCACCATCACCATCACTCATGCTTGCTAACTACCGCCTAGAGTTGCACCATGTTGCACCTCTCGGAAAGCAATGGTGAACCCATCTGAGCCATAGTCGCTAATCCTAAACACTCGACTCCTAAAGCCTAAGCCCGGAACCCTAAACTCTACCTGCATGCCTGCGGAGAAAGAGCCACTGCGCCTTAAAAAAAAAACTCTGGACTCCTAAACCCTAAACCCTAAACTCCTAGACTCCTAGACTGCTTGACTCCTAAACGCTAAACCCTAGACTCCTAAACCCCACCTGGACCCTAAGGAACCTACCTTTTAGGGTTCCCTAATATGATTTCTTTATATAAGTCTTGAAAAAGGTAGGTTATTTGGGGTTAGGGTAAACCCGAAAACCTAAAACCCTAAGCCTTAACAAGGCAAGCCTTTATTCCTCAGAGCGGTCTGTTTTCAAGGGGCGAGGCCCAGGAAGGCCCGTGAACCTCATAGATATCAAACTCGGTATAGGGTTCAGGGTTTAGGATTTAGGGTTTAGGAGTCTGGGATTTAGGGTTTAGGGTTTAGGAGTCTAGGGTTTAGGATTTAGCGCTTTGGGTTTAAGGGTGTTTAGCCGTTTAGGGTTTAGGGGCCATTTAGGGGTTGGGATACTAATGTCTGGATTCTTCTTACCGTATAAGAACTCTAACTATTCTAATTATGAAGGACCCTTTAGCTAATGGATTCTTCTTACCGTATAAGAACTCTAATTATTCTAAATATGAAGGACCCTTTCTGGGTGGACCTTTCGAACATTTTTTATTTTATGGGGTCTCTGTGGGTCTCAACAACTCGCCAATAGTTGTATATGTTTGAAAGGGTTTGTGGGTCTCAACTCGCCAATAGTTGTATATGTTTGAAAGGGTTTGTGGGTCTCAACTCGCCAATAGTTGTATATGTTTGACAGGGTCTGTGGGTCTCAACTCGCCAATAGTTGTATATGTTTGAAAGGGTCTGTGGGTCTCAACTCGCCAATAGTTGTATATGTTTGAAAGGGTCTGTGGGTCTCAACTCGCCAATAGCTGTCTATGTTCGAGGGATGTCACCAAACGAACTTTCCACAACAAGCTTCAACATATCATTAGACTTCGTTTGGTGGGCAATCCCAGGTCCATGTCATGTGTGTCCTTAGAAGTCGCTTTGGATTTGTTCACAGGTCTTTGGATTTAGGAAGGTTTGTGCTTTTTTTTTCAGAAGGTCTGAACTTACTCGAAGGTCTTTGGATGTGCGGTGTTTGGGATGCAGGGCAAAGGTCTTGGGGTCTTTTTGGTCTTCAGTCTAAGACCCCACAAGACCCATGCCTTGAAGCCTCGCGCCGCGGCTGGCGAAACATGATCAAGGACAGTTGGGGGAGGGATGGGCGGGGGGGTTGGGCACAGGTTTGGGGATTACGGGTTCAAGTGCTTGGGGGTTCAAATGCAGGGTTTTACTTTAGTTTAATCAATCTCAACGTAAACCCTAAACCCTGAGCCTTAAGCCCGAACGCAGGACTGGAACCAATGCCTCAGCGAAAGGCAGCTCGGCGAGGGCCTAAGGTTTTAGGGCTGGGGCTATACGTAACATGTTCATATACATAATTATAATATACATATATATGTATATATGCATATATATATATGCATATATATATATATGCATATATAAAAGTTTATGTGCACATATATGTATATATATATGTATGTGTATATATATATGTATAGGGTTGGGGGCTTGGGCTTTGTAGGGCTTGGGGATTAAAAGGGTTTATAGGATGTAAGGGTCTCGGGCTTGGGGTTCGTTTGGATCTTCGGCAGGTTTTAAAGGGCTTGAGGTTCAAGGCTTAGGTTGTTAAATCAAGTGTAGGATCTCGGGCTTGGGGCATGTTGGGCTTTATAGTAATAGGGCTTCGTGTTCAGGGCTTGGGTTGTTCATATTGTAGGGTCGCGGGCTTGGCTTGCGGGGTCTGTTGCAATGTTTTGTTAGGTTAAGATTCTTAGCTTGTCTTAGGCTTTATAGGGCTTGGGGTTCAGGGCTTTAGAGGTTGTTTGGAAATGTAGGGTATGGGACTTTAGTAGGCTAAGGGCATGTCTTAGGTTTTTTAGGGTTTGGCGTTCAGTGCTAGGGTTGTTAAAAGGGTGTAGGGTTGGCTTCTGGGCTTGCTTATAGGCCTCCACCCTTACCCTAAGCCCTAATCCCACGCAAGCCCCCTGGAGGACTTCGAGGCGCGGGTTTAGTGTTCAGGGTATATGGGTCTGTGCAAGACCCCGGGTTTTTGGTCTGTGCAAGACCACCCCCGGGGTCGCTCGGTCCGCGCACGACCGAGCGACCCCAGCCCTGTAACTAGTCTAGGTCTAGGCTGCCTTGCTGCCCCTGCCCCTGCTGCTGCCCCTGCTTTGCCTGCTCCTATCCCTTTGCCCTGCCCCTACTTAAACCCTAACGCTGAACCCTAAACCCTAACCTTAATAAATAATAAACCCTAAACCCTACCTGTGCGTGCCTGCCTGCTGCCTCTCCCCTCTTCCCTCTAGGTCTAAGGATTAAGTGACTAGGTCTAGGTTAGTGGCCGTGTTTAGGACGCAGCTCAAGGACTTGTTGTTGTGTTAGGTCTAGGTCTGCGAGGAGGTCTCCCACTAGGCACAAGGCAGGGTCAGTAGGTACAAGGCAGGGTTGACTTGAGCTGCGCTAGGTTAGGGTTGTGTCTAGGAGAGGTGAGGTCTGGGCAAGACCCAGCGACCAATTTTGGGTCTGCGCAAGACCCGCTATTACATTAACCTATTGATTATTGTCTACATGTCTAGTCAGACTATTGACTATTGTCTACATGTCTTTTTTGTTGTAGATCGTCTGTCTGGTCATGTTGCATGTTACTAGGTCTCTTAGGTTGCATTGTCTTTGCATTATGTGTTGTGCAAGAATGCCGTATGTAGGTGACATGAGTTCTTGTTGGTCCATGTCACCATGTCTTGTGTGTTTGTGATTATTGTTACTGTTGTGGTGTGATATTATTAGGTCTTTATGTCTTTGTCTTGTCTTGTGTGGACTCGTGATCCCGGTATGTCTCCCAGTGTAAACCATGCTACTCGTATTATTATGCACACATCATGAGCTATGTACGAGTGTACATAAATACTGTACGGCATGATGGCATACGGGTCTTTACCATATTACTTAACTTATGTCACATGAAAAGTATCGCTTTAGGATGTGGTAGTGTATCAAGAGGTCTTGTTAAAGATCGTTTGTGTTGTATTTTTATGCGATAGTTTATTACTACATTGTAAGAGTCCATACCGTAATACTGTTAATATTAGACTAGTTACTACACAGCATGCACAGCTGTTAAACACAACCATGCTATTCTTTACTGTATGTTGCATGCATCTTAGCACTCCATTCTCCACTACAAGCCCTACTAACCTGTACGGTCTTACTTTAGCGACATGTTCTTCTGCGACTTGCCTACTATAATATAATTTAATACTATCAGTATATTCATTCCTCGTATTATAGCCAAAACGAGACATTATGTTGCTCCGTATGGCAAGACATGTTCTATGTTCTACTACTGACTATTTTTTGCGAGTATGGTATATCATACGACACGTTTGTGTAGTCAGTACCATGTCTTACTTGACTATGGTCTATCAATTATTGAAACTGACTATGGTAGTTAGTCTTAGGGTAGTCTTAATTGGCTCAAGTGTTTTGCGTCATTGTGTTTATTGCGCTAACGATATGGAGGTCTGTTGTCTACCATGTTATAGACAATAGTAAAGTCTAAAATAATGTCGGCCCCGTTCGCTGAGGCGGCAGGCCTCATGGGCTGCTCCGTGTTGGTCTGGAGGCTCTTTATTGTAGTGATAGGATTCCGAAGCCAGTTCGCAGCATGATGGCAGGACTTTGGACATCATCGACGGTCTGGGGCGGTCTCAAGGCCGTTTCCTGCTGAGGGTTTTGTGCTCTCTTCTTCTACAATTAAATCTGGGCTGCGGCAGGTCTGATGTCGAATTGGGCATGGAGTGATGGTGAAAGAGCTGAGGGAATACTCATGATGAGGGACGTCAAGCGGCCCACGCCAGAGGCTGCTTGCTCGCAGTGAGAATGTCAGCAATGTCTAATGTTCTGTCGAGTGTTCCATGCCCCATGCTGACCAGCCCAGGTCTGCGAGTCACGATGTTTCAACGGCGAGAAGCGCTTATGTGAGGTCTCGGGCGACTCGGCCGGACAGCTTCTTGCAGTCTTGTGTTCCTTTAAAGTGAACTGTCTTTCCGATCTCAGGGGACACGCTCATCGTCCTGCACGACCACGGGTCCCAGAGCAAGAGTCACCACGACGAGGACTGAGGACTCTGAATTTTTACTTGCTTCTAGTCTTGACTTCTGCTTGCCAGGTCTAGATTGATTTGGACGTCTCTTTTGGACGAGGACTGACTCACCTGCTGCAGCCTTGGTGCTGGACTCTGTTCGTTTGCCAGGTCTGGATTTGGCGGTGTCTCCGTCACGACGAGGACCGAGAATCCTGAGGTTTTTGCTCCAAGCTTCGACTTGATCTGTCTGGCCAGGTCCAGATTAAGTTGGACGACTTCTCGGGCCGAGGACTAATTCACCCGAGCTTTTGGCTAGCTGTCCTTGATCTCTTCTTGCAGGTCTTGGCTGTTGTCTCGGTCCCAGACATCC